GCTTCTCACTCTTGGTTCGTAGACTGAAGTGCTATGGGGGTTGTCAACTCTGGCTTCGGTTTCCTGCTAGATCTTGTGCCTTGTGGTATTTTCCTGCTGTTTGTGGCACTGTGGCCAGGATCGAGTAACGTAGTGTACTGGGGCTGCATGTGATTAGATGCCTTCCTTAAGCACCCTGTAAGTATTATCCTTGGGTTCTAGGGTTCTCTTCCGTTGGGCCTTCAGGACTTCTTCTGTAGGGGTTCCTGCTGCTAGGATTTTACCACACACTTGGGGCCAGCTGGGATTTCGTGACCTTTGTTTGGCTCTGGGTAGTGTGTGTTGTTGTTGCTGGTTGGGGCACATGGTGATGTGCAGTTCACCTACGTAGCAGCGGTCATGTTCCCTGTTCCTCCTGCTGCTGTTGTGGTTTTGTGGGTTTTTCTTTTATCTTTGTAAGAAAATGTCTGCCTGGTTTGACTATTTGTCAACATAGGTTATATTTGGTGGCTCCCCTCTAGGCCCTCATGCTTGTACACTTCACAGGAATCCAGTTTTAGCCCCCTTCCCCCCTGACATTCTCATTCGAGCTCAGCTGGCTTTGCATCAGCGTTGCCTGAGCTTCACATGTTTTGCCTCTGTCATGCTGCCTGTTGGGTGCATCATGCATCTGTTGGTGCATCGTCGGCTTCCTCTTCGGGTTTTTTTGGGCTTCAGTGCCATGGCACCAACCCGAGCCCTCACTCGATGTGTTCACAGATGTCGTCTCTCGGCTGGGACTGTGTCCAGTGCTCACCAGGCCGGCCAGGGGTGATGGGCTCCGTCCTTCTGTCGGGCTCACAGCACGGTACAGGAATTTGTCATGGTTTGGTTTTTGCTGCGGAGGGTTCAGGTCACTCGGGGCTCTATGATCAGGCTCCATTTGGATTATGCTCCGGTGTTCATTGTCTGAATCGCGGGGTTCTTTTTGGTCCTTGGCTCTTTGGAGATGGTCGCTTCGGGTGACTAGTCTGCTGGATTCTTGGAGTTTAGGTCTCCGTGTGGATCACATCTGGGGAGTTTCCAATGTCCAGGCAGACGCCCTGTCACTGTTTAGTCCCCTTTCCATGGAATGGATGGTCAATGCCGACTCCTTTGGTTGGCTGTGCCGGACGTTCAGGCCCCTGGAGGTAGGGCCTCTTCTCATCAGCGTGGTTCTGGCGTCTTCCAGTATATGTGGCGCCCTTCCTTGACTGCGGAGCCATTGCGGTGGATGTTTTTCGGCAGGACTGGTAGAGTTGGGGTTACCTGTACCTCTTTCTCCTGGTCCAGCTGTTGCTTCGGGTTCTGGCTAGGTTGGAGTCTTACCACGGGAGAGTCGTCCTTGTGACCCTGTGGTAGCTGGCCCAGCTTGGTTTCAGGCACTGCTTGCTTGGTTTCTGAACCCAGGGCATTTTCCGTGGCTCCGCCTCTTCCAGTAGATCACGCTAGTCCAATACATGGCTGTTTTGATCTATTCCTCCGCTCTTCGCATCTGGTCTTTTTGACGCTGGTGTATCACCACTCGTATGGTGATCCGGTGACTTCACTGATGGTGTCCTACCTGCAGTCTTCGTCTCGGCGACAGTATGAAATCTCATGGTGTTCTTTTTGCCATTTCCCCCTCTCTCTCTCTCTTCTTAGGTTGTCTTCTGTTTCTGTTCAGGATGTTTTGTCCTTTCTTTCTTTCTTGGCTCTTTCAGGATCGTATTCTTGTGCCTAATACTGACGCCTCTTATCGTGCACGCTGGCGAAGCCGCTTTAGCTTGAGTTCAGGGTGGATGTCACTTTCACCCTGTTTTGTAAGCTTTCTTGTGCTTTGTTTCTCCTCTGGCCTGCTCATGCGCTGCCTGGCGGACGGCCTGTCCCGGTTCATTTCCGTGTCCATGGAACGAGTCGGTTGACACCGACTCGTTCTGTTGGCTCTGCCGGACGTTCGGGTGCCTGGAGGTGGACCTCTTCGGGTCAGCGTGGTCGAGGCATCTTCCGGGGGAGATCTTTCCCCATCCCCCATAGTCAGGAGAAGGGCACCACATATACCGGAAGGTATATGTGACGCCCATTCCTGAAAGGCATCGTCAGGATTGATACCCTTCAGCTGGACTGGTTGTGGTGGGGTTACCTGTACCTCTTCCCCCTGGTTTGGTTGTTGCTCCAGGTCCTGGCTCGCTTGGAGACTTCCCGGGGAATAGTAGTCCTGTTGGCCCCTTGGTGGCTGGCCAGCCTTGGTTTCAGGCGCTGCTTACTCGGTGTCCGAACTTGAGGGTCTTCCTGCGGTTCTGCCTCTTTCAGCAGATCGGTCTGGTTAAGTACATGGCTGGTTCGATCTTCTCCTCCGCTCTTTGCATCTTGTCTTTTTGATGGATGTTTATCATCACTTGTATGGTGCTCATGTGGGTTTGTTGATGGTGTCCCAACTGTGGTTTCGTCTCAGTGGCAGTATTAAGTTTCCTGGCTGTCCTTTTGGCACTTTGTCTCTTCGTAGGTTTGTCTTTTCCTGATCGGGTTGTTTTGTCCTTTCTCTTTAAGTTGTTGAAGGACCGTCATCTTATGCCGAATACAGTCACTCTGCAGTGTGCGGCGCTGGTGGAGCCGCTTCAGTTTGTGTTTGAGGAGGATGTCACTTCTGATCTGTTCCACAAGCTTTCTCAGACGTTGTTTCACCTCCGGCCTGCTCACATGCACCGCCTGAGACGTTCTGGTTGCTGAACCGGGTGCTCTCTCATCTCTCTTCTCCTTGGTTTGTAGTGGCCCCTTTGGTTCCGGACTGTTTTTCTAAGTCTTTTCTTGTTGGCATTGGCCTCTGGGGGGTCGGGTCGGGAAGCTTCATGCTCTCCGGCACAGGGGTTTCTGCTCTTTCGTTCCTGATGATGATTTTGTTCATTTGCAGCCGTCGTCGTCTTTTCTGGTGAAGAATGAGACTGCTGCTTTCCTGAGGTGTCCTTGGGTTGTTGATGCTTGGTTTGGTCAGGGGCGCATCATGTTTCGTCTGGTTGCGGCTCTTCACCTTTACTTGCTCACCACTGCCTCCGTGGCAGGGGATGTACTTTGGGTTGACCCAATTTCCCCTTCTTCCCTATTCCAAGATGCGGGTCTCCCAGGTCATCTGCAGGGCTATTTGGTCCAGCCAGCCTGTGGTCTATCCCCATGCCCACGACATTCGTAACTTCACAACTTTGGCTCCTTCAGCAGTAATTTGGTAATATTGCTTTGGTACTGCTTTGGCAATATGTCCTGGACTGACATTCGGGCACTGGGCTTATGGAGGTTGCATAGTGTTCTGGTTGCATGGTACCTCATTAATATTCCTGGCCCTTCTCTGGAGTGTGTAGCCTTGGGTTGCAGGTTGCAGCCAGTCGTCTCTACTTCGAGTTGAGATGCGAGTGGAAGCCGCCTCTTGGGTAAATCCCTCTTTTTCTTTATCTTTGGGTAGGTAGCTCCGGGAAGCCAAAGGGGCTCCACAGAAAACCAGAGTTGTATGTAATGAAACAGCATTTTCTGGGTGAGACCCAGAGGCTTCTCGGCATACCTCCCTCCCTCCCCACCGGTCGGCAGTTTTTCGCGTTTTTTATATTCAGCCTCTGAACTGGGGTTGGGTAGCCGGCATAGGTGGTCTGGAGCCCCCCTTCCTCCCTCCCAGAGAGAGAGAAGCTGCGCAGACAGCAGCACGTCAGTTGTGGTGACGTCATGCTTATTTTCTGATTGGGGCGTTCTGCTTGCTCGTTTGGCTTTCAGTTTGCAATTTTTAATCAGCTATAGTTGGTTTTTGGGATTCCTACCTTTCTGAGTTCCTGACCTGGTAGATGACAGACATAGACTGCTTTCAATCACATGGGGGGTGTCTATAGGCCATTGCTCCTCATGCCGTTCTGAGGGGGCCCAGGTTCTGGCTCGTGGTCCCCGGTAGGCTAGAACTCCATCACTTGACTATTGCCACGGTCTAATATATACACATCAGCCGGTATAGCACCAGGGAGCCTCCAGGTCTCACCCAGAAAATGGCATTTCATTACGTTCAACGCTTTTTTTTTTTTTTTTTTTTTTTTTTTTTCTCTCTCCTCTCTCTATATAATTACTTGCTACCTCCTTTCCCAAACAACAAGCAGGACAATGCCCTACCATCCAACAGGGAATGCACAGGTCAAATAGTATAATACAGAAGGCTATTGATCTAACATTAAAGCCACACAATCTAGATAAATTGAAATACTTAGGAGTCTCAATTAAATAAATAATGTGTCATGTTCATTATGAAAATATATACAGTACACTGTACACACACAACTTACAGCAAGGTACCAGTGATTGATGTGTTGTATATTTATTTTAATGTGCACTGCTAGGTTTATTAAGTGATGATGTTACTATTGGTTTGGGTGGAGGTGCTTGTTTATGGAAGATGCTATATATTATGGAAGATATGATGATTGGAAGTGATGTTATTATTTTATTATTTATCTACATCTTTCCTATACTCCTGTATTCTCCTTTTTCTTTGTGCTGGTGCTTCTGCACTGCAGGGAGTGGGAAGGGACTTTGGGATGATGAAATGTATGATGTACTCTGTCACCTGAGGGTCTTACTCTATACTCTTGATGGGGGCACATTATTGTACAATATATACATTGAGAAAATGGGCGCATCCGATCCCACGATCGTCGTCGCCCCTAAATCAACAACAGCAGCAGCAGCATTGAGAAAATCCGTAAGAGCTGTGATGAAGATTTGAACCTATGCAGTGGATAGACCCATGTACATGCCCCAGACAATGGTATGTTCAGCAGAACTTCAGGTTGCAATCCTTTTGACCATGTTGTGGCCTGATTGTCTGGGGGGTGTGCGTGGGAACACCCATCGCATAAATTCGAATCCTCATCACGGCTCCTACGGATTTTCTCATTGATGCAGTCACATTAGTGTGATTACTCTGTGTGAATATAAACATTATTAATGAATATTTCTTAGTAGCAAAATATAATGCTAATAATAGTTAACCTGGACAGCCTGACTTGATGTACTACTGGAGCCATACCGAGGCCTCGCCAGCACAGATCTTAACCCCTGGTAAAATCACTACTTCTGCCTGGCCGCCATCAAATTTTGCCGAACTCATTTCATCTGTTCGCCCAGGAGCAAAATATACAGAAGCTGGTATGTTTGTCTTTACACTGTAATGTGTTTTAATTGCAAATAATACATCCTGCTTAATACTGCATAGTACTGTACTTTAAATTTCTTATTAACAGTTGGAAAAATCATTACTGGTTTGTGTTTCGTCGTCGTTGTTGTAGATACTCGGCAACTAATAGTAATAGTGCTTTTCATTAGCTTGTAACTTTTATAATATACTCTTTAATCAAAATTATAAATTAAATGCTATGAAAAAATGAAAAAAGCAAACATTTACTCAAGGTAATAAAAAAATTATTATTCTTTATCACACTTATCTGTAACTTGATCAAAATGGTTGAATGGATGGGTCAAGAAGGGGACAAATGCAAATCCTATTATCCTTGATAGTAGAATGGAAGGTATTGTTGGAGTAAGAAAGTCGAGCTGTTTGAAAAGGGTGATATAAGAAGACATCAGGAAAACTGAATACCTGAATGAGCCAGAAAGAACTGTAAAATAAATGGTTTTGGATTACTAGTTGATTGGAAGGCAGCACTCGGGAGCTAGAACTAATTTCCTACAAAACTCAAATGGGTGAATTAATTTACTTTCACACACACTATATTCATAAATAATTCTGTAGTGGACATTTAATATTAGTTCTGAAATTTAAATGTGTGTATTAAGCAAGCAAAGTCATCTTCACACAATTTCAGCTACATTAGTTTCATCAATCTTATAACTTGAAAAATGTTATTCAGCTTCAGTGTATTCAGTAGGGTACAGTAGAATACAATACAGTAGGATACAGTACAGAACTAAGTGGCCCAACCCATCTACAGTTTAGAGATATTCTTCTCAATGGTTGTCCTCTCCTTTCTTAATCCATAACAAAGCAGGTGAAGTTGATTGTGCAGCACATTATAGTATATTATACTATACTATTACTGATAATTAGTCTATTATTAAATTTTTTATACTGCTTAATTGTAGTTCTTCCAACTTTACTATTAATTATTAGTGATACAATTCATTTATTGTTTAATCAATTCTGCTTTTAAAATGAGTGATTATTCTAATTCTGCATTTAACATAAGTGATTATTCCAATTCTTAATTTTTCTGCTTCCTTATCATATCCTCGTCTATCTAGAATGGTAATGTTACAACAGATCATAATGTTTTATATTTTCTTCACTTTTTCATATGTACATATGTATACACAAACATATACATGCACACATGCATCAGTAGTTTGGAGGTGTTCTAACAAATAGTATAGGAAACATGGGACATCATGACTGTAAGGGAACTAAACCATACATCAGAAGATGGAGAAATGACAACGTTTTGGTCTATCCTGGACCATTATCAAGGTACACTGCTTGATAATTGTCGAGGACAGACCAAAATGTCCGTTTCTCCATCTTCCGATGTGTGGTTTGGTCATCGTATATTTAGCAACGTTATTGTGACTTGTTGTCTACTCCATGAGTGTAACTCATATCCTGTAACCACACCTGGTAATTGCACATAAAAACTTAAAGAACATAAGGTCATAGATTAAAGCAAAGAAAAAATGTTCCAAGTTTTCTGTGAGCAGAGTGACTAGCGAATAGAATAAAGAAAACAAGAAGGTAGTAAATGCCATCACACGCTTCAAAATATCATGTACTGTAAATTAATTCACATGAGGGCCATTATTTCTAGTGGCATAGATGGGGACAGCAAGCCGGTAGCTTGTAGATGGTCTTCCTGTTATTACTGAGGCATTTTTCAACTGAAATTTGAACAGGAGTATCATTCTGGCACTTACAGATCTGGTGGGTTGGCAATTTCATGTGATTTATTTATGCTTAGAGTGAAAAATGAGAGATGTCTCCATCGGCCACACTGAGACCTGCAGAGGATTGCCAGGGCCCAAAGGACTATCCAAGCAGGACACCAAGGTACTTGGGGATGCTTGCCAAATGTTATAAAGTAGACTGGCAGCCTAGTTAATGTGTGTATTTGTGTATTAAGGCTGTCCTCGGGATGCTACGTGAACAAGCGTGCGAACCACCCGTATGTCCCAACCAGCCAAAATATTCGCCTGAACCAAGTCTGGACAGATATGGAATAGAAAGACTCCTGACACACCCAAAGGCTCCAACCCCAAGTGATCTGCCATTTAAAGAGCAAACCCCCAAACACACCAGTGATGGGAACTCTGTCAGTGCAAGGGCAGTGCTAAGGAGCACTCAGAGAAGAGATCCCTGACCACATTCAGCTCCAAACATTCTTTAAACCAGATCCACTCAACACAAACTGGACAGAAAACATGCTCATGAAGCTTAACTAAAATAAGAAACAAGCAAATGGCCCCACAGGACAAAGTCCAGGGATGGCTGGCACTTTGCTCAAAAGTAGCAGGACCTGCATAGCTTCTTGAAGACCCGGGAACCCTACATTGAACATCCAGACATGTCTGTGTCAGCAACAGAACTTGTGGAAGGCTGGGTGCTCTGGCACCCTCCGCCTCCAACTAGCATGGAGGGGAGATATGTGCTAGAGCTAAAGAGTTTCCTAGTTTCAAGAAATTTGATGGTTTGTTTACATTTTTTTAGAAAAGTTTGGCAGCATTGAGGCTTTGGTCTCTTTGAACCCGGCTACTTGCCTACCTACTTGTTGGAGATTTTGAGGATCAATATTCCTGTGGCCTGGTCTCTGACTAGGCTCCTGGTTGCTGGTCTGATCAAACATGCTGTTCGATGTGGCTGCTCTCAGCCTGGTTTAAGAGTCGCAGCCTGGTTGATTAGGTGTTCTTTGAAGGTGCTTGTCAAGTTCTCTTTTGATTATTGTGAAAGGTCAGTCAGTTATTCCCCATATGTGAAAGGGAAGAGTGTTGAAAAGTCTTGAGCCTTTGATGATGATAAAGTTCTCTCTCAGCGGGCCTATTGCACCTCTGAGAAAGAAAACAGCCTCTTTTCAGTGAAGCTGTTTTACACATCCTGCCATTCCTTCTGGTCTCAGGTGGTGGTGTTTGTGTGGAGATCTGGAACCAGTCTTAATATTTTCCAAATGTAAATTATTATGCATATCTCCCATCTGCACTCGAGGGAATACAGATTTAAAATTTCTAGGTGGTGCAATAACTTGGATGTTTTATTGAGTGGATTCTAGCAGTAAAAGAGCTTTGCATGCTCTCCAAGTCAGCATATTTCTCCAGCTTTGAATGGGACTGTTAGTGTGCAAAAATGTTCCACCCCAGAGCACAAATATCTTTAAAAATGTCATCATTGGCATGGCATTTCTTATTTGAATGGTTCTTGTTATCCAACATGTCATTTTCTGGCAGTTGTGGCAGCAACTTTGTTTTGTTCTGAAAAAGCAATGTCTTGTGACATGATTGCTTCTAAATCTTCTATATTGCCTTTTCTTTCAATAGTGTGATTTGACTGCATCTTATATGTGGTTCTTGCTTTGATGTTTGTTTTCTGTGGTTAGTCCCCCATCTATGTGGTTAGTCCCTGAAGCTATGCTACTGATAGTGTTATATTAGTTGGGGTCATCAGTCGCAGAGTTCTTGTTGCCTACCGGGAACCAGAGCCAGAACCTGGCCCCCTCAGAGAGATGCAGAGAGCAATGGCCTATGAGCACTTTAAAGTACAGTGTCATATTTTGGCATCTACCAGGGAAGGCACCCAGAAAGCTAGGCGAATCAATACAGACCACTGTCTGGTCGAAAATTGTGAGCCATGTCCTCAAAATAGCAAAAGATAGCGCTGTCCTTAACACCTTCCTCGGTGTGTGTGCATGTGGGTTAGGAGGGGGAAAACCAGCCTGGGTGAGCCAGCAACCCCCAATTCAGTTCTTGACTGATGGTACTGGAGGTCAGCAATGTCTTTTCTGGATTTTTGCCTTAACGGTGGTTCCTACTCTTGTTGTGTACTCACCTAGTTGTACTCGCTTAGTTGTGATTGTGGAGGTTGAGCTTTGGCTCTTTGGTCCTGCCGCTCAACCATCAATCTATGTGTACAGATTCCCAAGCTTCTCGAGCTCCATCATATCTACATTTGATTGTGTATGGAGGCAGCCTCCACCACATCACTTCCTAGTGTATTCCATTTACTAACTACTCTAACACTGAAAAAGTTCTTGTTAATGTCTCTGTCGCTCATTTGGGTACTCGGCTTCCACCTGGGTCCCCTTGTGCATGTACCATCTGTGTTAAATAATCCATCCTTGTCTACTCTGTTAATTCCCCTGAGAATTTTGTATGTGGTGATCATGTCTCCCCTGAGCTCTTCTGTCTTCCAGCGACGTGAGGTGCAGTTCACTCAGCCTTTCCTCATAACTCATTCCTCCTAGTTCCGGGACTAGCCTAGTGTCATACCTCTGAACTTTTTTTCCAGCTTTGTCTTGTGCTTGACAAGGTACGGGTTCCATGCTGGGGCCGCATACTCCAGGATTGGCCTTGCAATCATATGGCGTTTTGCAAGCTCTTTGGCCTGGGTTTGTATCCTGACCGGGGAGGACTTACTGGGCGCCAATCTTTAACTGTAGACTCTGTTCACCCAACAGTAAAATGTGTAGCTGGTTGTTAAACAATTTGGTGGGTCGTATTTGGGGAGCATAGGATTAAGGACTTGCTTGAAATGCTATGCGTGCTAGTGGATGCACAAAAATGTAAGAACGCTTGTGTATATAAAAAAAATATTAAAGTACACTCACTATAAGTATTTAGGATTTCTATTTTAAGTATCGTAACTTCCACCGTGAGTTTCAAAAGTGGTATATGACAGATTGCTGGGGAGACGGGACACCATGAGTGTAGCTCTCATCCTGTAACTACATTTAGGTAATTACACTTGGGTAATAGATAATTACACTTGGTAAGTACACTTACGCAATTACACTTAGGTAACTACACAGGTGCACAAGCTACTACATACAGTATAGAAATACTAAGTGCTACACATTACATAACTTACTCTATCTTGTGTACATGTACTTATCTGATAATTTTAACATTTGTATAAAACTTTATTATTTCTGGGGGAAGCCCCTTCGGCTCTCTGGAGCTTACTAGGCTGATATGTTAATGTCAGACTTTGGCATTAGTCATGTGTATGGAGTTCTTTGGGCCTACCGGGGACCACGAGCCAGAACATGGCCCCCTCAGAGAGGCATGGGGGAGCAATGGCCTATAGAAACCCCCGTGTGGTTGGAAGCATTCTATGTCTGCCATCGACCGGGTCAGGCACCCCAGAAAGGTAAGCATCCCAAAACAAACTCCTATTCTGGTGAAATTATTGCTACCAAAAGCTGAACAAGTGGATAGAACTCCCCTAAAAGAAACGAACAAACGATCATGTCACACGTCGTCGCCGCTGTCTGCTCAGCTTTCCCCCTTCCCAGGAGGGGGAAGGGGGAGCCTTCCCCCTCCTGCTATCCAGGCATGAGGGGGGCATGCTAGACCCCTCATGCCTGCTATCCACCCATCATGGTTGATGCTAGAAGCTGAGGTCGTGTGCTCTGGCTCCGGTGGTTGTTTCAGCACTCGACCTAGAGTGTGATGACTGTCTTCTAGGTGGTGCATGAGCCGGGAGTGATTCTCCAGTTCTTGGGCTGCATGCGCCTAGGGTTTCCTTTCCTAGGTGCCCTGTAAGTACTTCCCTTGGGGCTTGGGGTTACCTTCCACAAGTTCCTTGGGTTCTGCCCCTGCTTGGCCGTTTACTGCTTGGTTTTCGGCCACCCTTTGTGTGCTAGGGTGTTCTGTCTCTCTTGTTCGCCTTGGGGTAGGGGGCAGTTTGCACTGGTAGGGGCGCAGGGTACTGCGCAGCTTGTTTACACCATTCATAGCAGCCAGGTCTGTTCTGCCTGGGTACACTGTCCTCTTGCGGGGTTTTCTTTTCTTTTTGTTTGTCTGCCTGGTGAGGGGGGTCTGCCTTGATTCTTGGCCCTTGTGTACTGAGTACTCTTGCTTCTTCCGGTGGTTCCCTCCTGCTAGGTCCTCGTGAGTGTACACGTCCCGGAGGTTCAGTTCTTAAAAAGTCGTTTGGTATTTGTGGGTGCCAGTTAGCAGTACCCTGCCTGGATTTACCTGGGCATGAGTCCCTGTAGGTAAATGCTCAGGATCCTGGGAAACCCCGAGGAGGCGAGTGGGTCTGGTGGATGGGACCCCGGAGTCCCCTCTCGCTTTGTGCGAGTTCGAGGGTTGCTCTGTCCCCTTGTCTCAGGGTGACTCTCACTGTTTTGCCTCCGTCCGCTGCCTGTGGATTTGGTGGCACCTTCGGCCCAGAGCCCTGCGAGTTTTGTTACTTGTTTGTGGCTCGATTACCCAGTCTTATGCTGACAATGCGGGTACAGGCAGCACAGGCATTGCAAGTTGAGTTCCGGTGGTGCAACACACTAGGTTGTTTGCTCCCCAGGAGCCCCAGGGCTGCCCCGTTTTGGTTGGTGTGATGGGGCTTGGGGGTGTTGGATGCTTCGGTTTTGTTCCTTCCGCACCTCCTTGTCTTTCCCCTGTTATGGTCTCCCCTTCCTCCCTGCATCCGGATCCTTGCCGTTTGTAGGTTCGGGGTCGGGGCGGGGCTTTGCTGGTCTCGAGACTCGGGCGGTCTCGGGGATTTTCCCCTTCTGGGATAGCGATGGAGGCATTCGAGTCTGTTACCCCAGCCGCGTTGCACGGGTCTGCCAGTGGGCTCCCTTCTTTCGTACTTGTCCGGTTGCCCGGGCTTTTTCTTGTGAGGCTGGGGCTTTAGGGGAACGGCTCGGCCCCAGGACCTTCCTGGTGGGTTCCCGGGGCTGGTGAGGTGCTGGTTTTGATCGAGAAGGTTTTGATTCTTTCCGTATTCTTGGAACGTCTGTCGTCTTCCAGTCCTTTCTGGGGCTTGTTGGTCCTTCTCGAAGCTTCTTGGTTTTTTATTCTGTTTCGTTCTTTCATGCTTGTCTCTTTTCTCTGTGCACTGTCCTGCGCTGCACAGGGTTGCCCGATTGGGCTCCTTGTAGCCCAAATGGGAAGCTGTGCTATGTTTCTTTTCGTTCCTTCCTGCTCTTTTCAACTTCAGTTGGTGGCTGCCCTGTGTACTCTCATATGGGATTCGGTCGTTAGCAACACTATTTTGTCTATTTTTCTAGTCACATTCGTGGTTTCTTCTTCAGCTAGCGACTTCTGGCGACCCTCATCTGGCATCCCTGCTGCGCATGCGCCGTGGTTGTTTTTTATATGGGCGGTTTGCATGTGTGCTGGGGTTTTGCATCCCTTTTCTCTCGGGTGCTTCGCCTCTCGCTCTTCTCAATTCTCCAGTCCGTGCCCCATAGCTCCTGGGACCGTTCTGGATTGCTGCTATGGGGAGGACGCCAGGTTTTCCCTGCATATGGGTGTGGGGCTCTTCCTTCGCCTCTACCCTACTCTTCTCCTGCATGTGCGGCTCTTCCACTGGCGGTGCTCCGGGAATCTTCTCGGCTACGTTGTGTCGTGACACGTTCGTACCCATGTTCTACAGGTGAGTTTATGTGGTCTGGCATCTCTTTCGGCCAGGCGCTGGTTCGTGGTTTTGGGATACGTATATAAGTACATCGGAACACAGGTGACTGCAGCAGGCCTATTGGGCCATATGTGGCAGCTCCTATTTATACCCATCCAGTTCAACTCTTATGCATGTCCAGCCCATGCTTGAGTCCAGATAGGGGGCCCCTACCTCCACCAGGTTATGAGGTACAATGGTTGGGGTAAGTGTTCCTGTCTGGATGTTCTGAGGTGACATTTTGCTGCAGTTTTCATGCTGTGGATGCGTGTTGGGGATTGGTTGTGCATTTTTGTTTGGCCCTGCCATGCTTCCTGGGGCTTTCCTTGTTCTTCTGGGTTAATGGTTGCAATGGGGTTCATGGTCCCGTTTTACATAGTCTTATCTGGGTCACTCTTTCCTTGCACGTCTTGCAGTGCCTGGCTTAGCCCTTCCATATACATTGGATTTACTGTACGGTACTTATCTAGTTGTGTTTGCAGGAGTTGGGCACTGGCGTTTTGGTCATTCGCTCACGTGCAGGTTCCTGGGCCTGCTGGGCTTTATCATATCTGCGCTTGAAGCGGTGTGTGGTGTCATCATCCACCACATCGCTTCCTCATGTGTTCCGCTTGTCTACTACTCTGACACTGCAATACTTCTTTCCCATGTCTCTTTGGCTCGTTTGGGCTCTTATTACACCGGTGTCGCCTGGTGCGTGTGCCCCTGGGGTCCCATAGTTGGTCTTTCTTTACCTTATCCCTTCCTTTGGGAATCTTAAATGTGATCATCTCCTCATAGCTCGTACTCTTTGGTTCGGGTACTGGTCTGGTGGACTACCTTTGCACCTTTTTCGTTTTTGTCTTGTTGGGACGTGTCACACAACTGTGTTGGCGTGGCTTGTTGGGACATGACCAGCAGCTGTGTGTGTGTTGTTGGTCGTGTCCCTTTCATTCCCGTTTTGCTCCTTGCCTTCTTCGTTTCTCATCTTCCTTCTACGCTGTTGTCCCTGGCCATTGGTGCTAGGGTTTTTCCTCTGATCTTTTCTTGATTTCCATTTTCTCATTTTATCCTACGCATGGTTGTGTTTTGTTTGTGCCTTTTGGCTCTCCTATTGTCAGGTTTGGGTTCCTGGTTTCCCGGCATACCCAGCCTGTTGGCGTTTTCACGGTCTCGCGGTTTCCCTTCTCTATAATTGCACGTCGGGACTATCGTCTCCGATCTCCTGGCGGGATCACGGGCATTGGGATGTTTTTCTGTACGGCGGACGTTCCATCTCCTTTGCTGGTTTGGGTTTCAGGCTTTGCTGGTTTCATGGTCGCACCCAAGATCTTCCCACAGCTTCGCCTCTTCCTAGGCTCAATTGGCACATTGCAGGGCTGCTTCGGTTCTGCCTCGAGTCTTTCACCTTCTGTTGGTGGTCAGGTGGCTTCATTTATAGTGTCCCACCTGCGTGCTTCTTCTTGGCAGCAGTGTGGGTTTTTTTGTGGTCCTTCTTTTTCCTTCTGTCCCTTCTTTGGTAGCTGTGTTTGTTGGCGTGGTCTTGTCCTTCTCTTGTGGAGGTTTGGGGGCCATTATCTTGCCCCATACTGTCTCCTCATATCGTGCTGCGCTGGCGGAGCCGCTTCAGCTTGCTTTAGGTCTTGATGTTACCTCTGCGCCGTTTTGCAAGTTGTCTCGTGTATTGTTTCACCTCTGGCCTGCTCTTGCGCTGCCTGAGCTGTCTTGGTCATTGTACAGAGTGCTATTTTCTTTCTTCTCCTTGGTTTGTTGTGGCCCCTTCGGTTGAGGTTTGTTCTCCAAGGCTCCTTTTCTTGGCATTGGCCTCTGGGGCTCGGGTTGGGGAGCTTAATGCTCTCCTCCGGCGCAGAGGTTTCTGCTCTTTCAGTCTTCGTGTTGCTTTTGTTCATCTGCAACCGTTTCCTTCTTTTCTGGTGAAGAATGAGACTGCTGCTTTCTGGAGGGGTCCCTGGGTTGTTGATGCTTGGTTGGGCCAGGGGTGCATTATGTTTTATGTCCGGTGGCGACTCTTCACCGTTTTTGCATGCCACGGCTTCTGTGTCTCACACATGACTGATGCCAAAGCCTGACATTAGCATATCAGCCTAGTAAGCTCCGGGGAGCCTCTGAGTCTCGCCCAGAAAATGGCCTTTCATTACATTCAACGCTGGTTTTTTGGAATTGTTGTAGTAGTGTGCTAGTATATATTGTTTTTGTTACTAACAATGCTTTTATTTATAACTAACCCACTGTTTGGAAACAGACACAAGCACTGGCAAGGGCACTACAGCCGATAACCTCCCTTGTCATCCTAATGGGGTACTTATCGAGGCCGAAGTGCAGAAAGTAAAGAACGGGCAGGGAGAAGGTAACCTGCATGTCGTGCATGGTTTTCCTTCAGTTCTGAGCATCGGCAAATATTTGTGTGACTTCATTCACAACTGATTTCATCCTGGATCTTAAAGCTTTCTCTTTAATCTACTTGTATAGCATGTGGGGTTGAATTGTGGCCAAGGTTAGAAACTGACACGATAAAGACTACATTGATTGGATAAGCAGGCGATGAGTCACAATAACGTGGCTGAAGTATGTTGACCAGACCACACACTAGAAATTGAAGGGACGACGACGTTTCGGTCCGTCCTGGACCATTCTTAAGTCGATCGACTTGAGAATGGTCCAGGACGGACCGAAACGTCGTCGTCCCTTCAATTTCTAGTGTGGTCTGGTCAACATTGATTGGATAAATTTAACTATGAAATCATATGATATCTTTATATTGTTGGTGGAAATCTTTGATTGTGTTCTGTTTCAGAACACATCGATAACATCTTCAATTGCAAGTTTACTTCCTAAGCTGAAGAGGGTGCCAGATTGCACCATTTCTAAACTATAGTGCCAATGTGCACCAAAATTACATTGAACTGATATATAAATATTGTAAGTTTGGAATTTTTATAATGGCTAAATTGTGGGTATCCACTTCTTGAAGAGTAATTAATTTGTCAGTATCATAGTCAACTATTAACCTTGGTTTACTGTTCAATTAATGTTCTCCAAAAACTGTAATTTATACTCAGATTTCAATACAGATAGAGATGCTTAGGTTAAATGTTTAGAATTTGTTGTAGATATAACTGTGTGCCTATGATATGGTTATGTATACTATGCATTTGGTTATATTCCACTTTGTGTTGTGATGAATGAACATTAATAGCATGCTACTGGTAAACTTTGAGTGCGTTGAATCATTTAGTTACTGGTTACCATATTTCTGTATAGTATTTATTAATAAATAAGCACAGTATTATAATACTATTTTCATTACTTTATTTTTGATAAATGAAAGTAAATATAAAAGGAATTACTGTATGCCTTCAATATTTTCTGTTTAATGCATTTAGTGGCTATGGAATCAGTGAATAATGTTACTGTTCCTCTACAGAAATTAACTGGTTTTACCATATGCTGCACCATAGCATTGAAATAAATGTTACCAATTATAGGTATTACTTCAGTATTATCAGTCATTTTTATTTATAAAGGTAGCCATTAAGGAGATGCATGGGTGGAAAATCTAATCATTGTGTGTAACAGTGAAATGTGCACAATATTTTGTTTGCCTCAAAAATATATTTGGTTGTAATTTTTAATTACCAAAGTGTAGGGAGTAAGGAGTTGTGCTTGGGAGCCTACACCAAGGTGGTGCCAACTGGTGCTTGGGAGCCTACACCATGGTGGTGCCAACTGGTGCTTGGGAGCCTACACCAAGGAGGTGCCAACTGGTGCTTGGGAGCCTACACCAAGGTGGTGCCAACTGGTGCTTGGGACCCTACACCAAGGAGGTGCCAACTGGTGCTTGGGAGCCTACACCATGGTGGTGCCAACTGGTGCTTGGGAGCCTACACCATGGTGGTGCCAACTGGTGCTTTGGAACCTACACCATGGTGGTGCCAACTGGTGCTTGGGAGCCTACACCATGGTGGTGCCAACTGGTGCTTGGGAGCCTACACCATGGTGGTGCCAACTGGTGCTTTGGAACCTACACCATGGTGGTGCCAACTGGTGCTTGGGAGCCTACACCATGGTGGTGCCAACTGGTGCTTGGGAGCCTACACCATGGTGGTGCCAACTGGTGCTTCGGAACCTACACCATGGTGGTGCCAACTGGTGCTTGGGAGCCTACACCATGGTGGTGCCAACTGGTGCTTGGGAGCCTACACCAAGGTGGTGCCAACTGGCGCTTGGGAGCCTACACCATGGTGGTGCCAACTGGTGCTTGGGAGCCTACACCATGGTGGTGCCAACTGGTGCATGGGAGCCTACACCATGGTGGTGCCAACTGGTGCTTGGGAGCCTACACCATGGTGGTGCCAACTGGTGCTTGGGAGCCTACACCAAGGTGGTGCCAACTGGTGCTTGGGAGCCTACACCATGGTGGTGCCAACTGGTGCTCGGGAGCCTACACCATGGTGGTGCCAACTGGTGCTTGGGAGCCTACACCAAGGTGGTGCCAACTGGTGCTTGGGAGCCTACACCAAGGAGGTGCCAACTGGTGCTTGGGAGCCTACACCATGGTGGTGCCAACTGGTGCTTGGGAGCCTACACCATGGTGGTGCCAACTGGTGCTTGGGAGACTACACCATGGTGGTGCCAACTGGTGCTTGGGAGCCTACACCAAGGAGGTGCCAACTGGTGCTTGGGAGCCTACACCATGGTGGTGCCAACTGGTGCTTGGGAGCCTACACCAAGGAGGTGCCAACTGGTGCTTGGGAGCCTACACCATGGTGGTGCCAACTGGTGCTTGGGAGCCTACACCATGGTGGTGCCAACTGGTGCTTGGGAGCCTACACCATGGTGGTGCCAACTGGTGCTTGGGAGCCTACACCATGGTGGTGCCAACTGGTGCTTGGGAGCCTACACCAAGGTGGTGCCAACTGGTGCTTGGGAGCCTACACCATGGTGGTGCCAACTGGTGCTTGGGAGCCTACACCATGGTGGTGCCAACTGGTGCTTGGGAGCCTACACCATGGTGGTGCCAACTGGTGCTTGGGAGCCTACACTATGGTGGTGCCAACTGGTGCTTGGGAGCCTACACCATGGTGGTGCCAACTGGTGCTTGGGAGCCTACACCATGGTGGTGCCAACTGGTGCTTGGGAGCCTACACCATGGTGGTGCCAACTTGTGCTTGGGAGCCTACACCATGGTGGTGCCAACTGGTGCTTGGGAGCCTACACCATGGTGGTGCCAACTGGTGCTTGGGAGCCTACACCATGGTGGTGCCAACTGGTGCTTGGGAGCCTACACCATGGTGGTGCCAACTGGTGCTTGGGAACCTACACCATGGTGGTGCCAACTGGTGCTTGGGAGCCTACACCATGGTGGGGCCAACTGGTGCTTGGGAACCTACACCATGGTGGTGCCAACTGGTGCTTGGGAGCCTACACCAAGGTGGTGCCAACTGGTGCTTGGGAGCCTACACCAAGGAGGTGCCAACTGGTGCTTGGGAGCCTACACCATGGTGGTGCCAACTGGTGCTTGGGAGCCTACACCATGGTGGTGCCAACTGGTGCTTGGGAGCCTACACCATGGTGGTGCCAACTGGTGCTCGGGAGCCTACACCATGGTGGTGCCAACTGGTGCTCGGGAGCCTACACCATGGTGGTGCCAACTGGTGCTCGGGAGACTACACCATGGTGGTGCCAACTGGTGCTCGGGAGACTACACCATGGTGGTGCCAACTGGTGCTTGGGAGCCTACACCATGGTGGTGCCAACTGGTGCTCGGGAGCCTACACCATGGTGGTGCCAACTGGTGCTCGGGAGACTACACCATGGTGGTGCCAACTGGTGCTCAGGAGACTACACCATGGTGGTGCCAACTGTTCCAACCGTCTATCACTCTGCAAAAGAAAACTTTAATATTTTTTTCGGCACCTTTATTTCCTTAGCTTGAATCTGCATCCTCTTGTTCATGAAGTTGCTGATTTCAGGAATTCCTCTTTGTCAATTTGGTAGATTCCTGTTAGTATTTTGTAAGTGGTGATCATATCTTCTCTCTTTCTTCTATCTTCTAGTTTTGGCATGTTTAACGTCTATAGTCTCTCTTCGTAATTCTTGTTTTTCCAGTTCCAGAAGTCATTTTGTAGCATGCCATTGTACCTTTTCAAGTTTATTTGTGCTCATGATTTATTTTCTCCAATTTCATATTCCATAACATTGCATTTATTCACTTTGAATTCCATTTGCCACTTGATGCTCCAAGCACTTATTTTATCCTGATCAATTTGAAGGGCATTACAATCGTTTGCGTCTCCTATCTTCCCCAGTATCTTATCATCCGCAAACATGTTCATATAATTCTGTATTCCTTCTGGTAGATTCTTTATGTAGATGATGAACATTACTGGTGCAAGAACTGAATCCTGTGGTACTTTGCTAGTAACACTCCTTCAGTCACTCTGATTACTGTCCTCATCTGTCTGTCAGTTAGAAAAATTTTCATCCATATCAGAAGATTTCCTGTCACCCCTCCAGCATGTTCCAGTTTCCAGAACAGCCTCTTGTGTGGGATTCTGTCCCACCACATGGCTCTCTGGAGCTATCAGACTGATATGCATTATATTAGTCCAAGGCATTAGTCGATGGAGTTCAGCCTACCAGGGATTACGAGCCAGAACCTGGCCCCCTCAGAGGCACAGAGCAATGACCTATGGTTGAACCCCTTCCCTGTGGTTGGGGGTATTTCTTGTCTGCCATCGACTGAGGTTAGGCATCGAGAAAGGTAGGCATAACATAACAAACCCCCACTTGGCAAGAACCTTGTAACCGAAGACTGAACTGGGAGCAGAACTCCCCCAACTCTCAAGGAAATGAGCAAACGTCACACACTGCCGCTGCGTCACTTGTCTGCGCAGCCCTCCCCTCCATGAGATGGGGGAGGGTGGAGCCCTGAACTCCCGCACCGGTTACTCACACCCCAGTTCATTGGCTGATGTGATCTGGGGTGGTCGTCAACTCTGGCTTCAATTTCTTGGCAGTATTTTGCCTTAGTGGTGTTTCCTGCTGTGTTGTGGTGGTGGTGGTGGACAGGTGTAACATGAGTGTACTGGGGCTGCATGTGCTTAGTGCTGCCTTCCCTAAGCACCCTGTAAGTACTACCCCTGGGTGCCAGGGTTCTCTTTCATAGTGCCTTCAGGACCCCACTTCTGTAGGGGTTCATGCTGCTCGGCATTTACCATGCCTTGAGGCCAGTTGGAGTTTCATAGGGTAGAGGGCGTAGTGGGTGTGGAGGTCGGCTCTGCCCCGTGGCCTCTGTTGAATGGTTCCTGGGGCTATGCGGGAGTCTGCTTGCAGTTCTGGGGCTGT